AGTACAATGATGGTTCATCTTATGGTAATAGTGAATGACAGAGACTTGAGGTCTTCCTTGCGCTACTTCTTGGAAAATTCAAATCGTCAAGATGGTTGTCGAATATTTTTAGAGGAGGAGCGGTCAAAAACAGAGGAGAGTTTCAAAGCTTGTATAGAGTTTACTGCATCACAAGCTTCCTCTACTAAAGACCAGGCCGAAAGGTTCGAAGCTAACTCTACTAAGAAAGGAAAACTAAAGACAATAAACGCTTTATCGAAGACAACCATCAAATGCCTTTATGATCGATGAGGTAAATAAATTTATTGTAAGGAATTCAATCAACAAAATTTCGACACCCACGTTAAACTGTGCCATGCCTCAAACAAAAATCAGGGGTCAGACACCTGTATTGATACGTTGTAGCGGACGATCATTTTGCTTTGCTCTCTCTCCTTCAACTCTGGATTTACGTTTGCAACCCGTGTTGTTTTTTATGTTTAATTCCTTCTTATTTGGTGTCGTCTCCTTCCCGTTTCAAAATATCCAAGTCCAACAAAGGAAAAAAAAATATTGTTCTATGCCGGTTGTTTTCAATAGCACGAAAAAGACACAATCCAAAGTTGATAGGGACTCCAAATCGACTGTATCGTGAGAAAAACGAGGCATCCTTAAAAACGTGAAGAAATTGGGGTGAAGAATCTGCAGGATGAACAAACTTACAAGCTTTTGATTTATAAGAAAAAGTACAAGGTTTATCTGACATTACCTTCCTATTATACATAACAGGTTTGATTCTATTCAGACCAATAAAGAATGTGGTAGATAATTCAAAGTAAAGTTTTGAACTTAAGTAAAACTAGATAGCTTAGAGGAACTTTTATTTCTTTCACGATAACATCGCCTAACACAAGCGCGCTTGTGAGGTATCAAGCAAAAGATGGCGGGCAGACCCATTTTTCCAAACCTAGTGTACTTTGCAACTAAAACAAACGCAATAAATAACGAGGATCGTGTGATCTGATTATCTGGGTGAGAATACTTCTGAAGCAGAACTGTTGTCAGTGACAGTGACTGTTTCAAGCTGGGTTATTAAAGTCACGCAAGTAACGCGTTATTCTCATGATGACGTAACCAACAACAGTCCTTTCCAGGACTACTCCTGCTCAGACGAGTTAACCCTTTCACTCCCAAGGTCTGATTGTTAATTCTCACCTCTAGCTGAAGCACATTTCCTTGTAAATGAGTTGCGAGAATTTGGTGTTAGTTAAAGATAACAAATTCTATCTGATACATTAGAATATTTTCATTACCTGTTTGCTAGTTAGTGCATGGATATTGTGGGAAGAAGTTACTTGTCAACAACTTCTGGGAGTTGTAGGGTTAAACGTCTTTCTAAAGTTTGCACTGGTCCCTAACATACATGCAGCGTGGTTGTCTGTAACAAGTTTATCCTGCTTTTCGCGTGTTGGTGTCAAAGTCTGGAATGAGATGTCTAATGAATACAAAAATTTGTCAAAGAAATCCATCAAAAAAAGAAACAAAAAGAGCTCTTCTCAATATTCTAGAAACTGAAGATTCTTAT